CTCCCACGCTCATGGATTGGCAGGATTAACACAGTAAAAATGACAATCCTATCAAAAGTAATCTACAGATTCAAAACAATCCACATTCAAAATCCCAACACAATTCTTTACAGATCTTGAAAGGACAATTATTACCAGAGGTTTCTCCTGATGCATCTATCCCACCTGTGGTCCCACAGCTGCTAATAAACACACAGAGGCCTATATTAATTTCAAACTGTAAGGCCTATGGCTCAGGCTCATTATTAACTAGCTCTTATAACATAATTCAGCCCATTTCTAATAATCTATGTTTTGCCACATGGCTTCATGGCATTACCTGTTCTCTCACATCTGGCTTTCTTGGCGGTGGCTTGCAGCTTCTCCTGACTCACCCTTCTTCGTCTCTGTCTTCAGTTTGAATGTACTGCCTAACCTTATTCTGCCTTACCATGGGTCAAACAGCTTTATTTATTATCCAATGGGAGCCACAAATAATTACAGCATACAGAAAGATATCCCACAGCAGACAATTCTCAACTTCACGTGGAAAAACAAAACAAAAGAATCTAGGAAAGTAAAAACAATCCTGAACAATAAAAGAACTGCTAGATGTATCACTATCCCTGGTTTCAAGCTGTACAACAGAGCTATAGTAATAAAAACCATATGGTACTGGCATAGAAACAGACAGGTGGGTCAATGTAATGGAATTAAAGACCCAGAAATAAATTCACACACCTATGGACACCTTATTTTTGATAGTCAGAATACACACTGGAAAAAAAACCAGCATCTTCAACACATGGTGCTTGTCAAACTAAAGTTCTGCTTACATTTATCACCCTGCACAAAACTCAAACTAAAGCAGATCAAAGACCTCAACATAAAACCAGATACGTTGGACTCCATAGAAAAGAAATTGGGGAATCTCCTTGAACTCATTGGCACAGGAATTGACTTTCTGAACAGAACATTAATAATCCAAGCACTAAGATAAACAATTAATAAATGGGACCTCATGAAACTGAAAAGCTTCTGTAAGGCAAAGGACACCATCAATCAGACAAATTGGCAGTCTATAGAATGGGGAAAGATTTTTACCAACTCCACATCTGATAGAGGACTAATATCTAAAATACATAAAGAACTTAAGAAACTAGATATCAAAAACCAAATAATCTAATTTAAAAATGAGGTACAGATCTAAACAGAGTTCGCAATAGAGGAATCTCAAATGTCTGAGAAACACTTAAAGAAATGCTCAACATCCTCAGCCATCAGGGAAATGCAAATCAAAATGACTCTGAGATTTAATCTTATACCTGTCAGAATGGCTAAGACCAATAACACAAGTGACAGTTCATGCTGGTAAGGATGTGGAGCAAGAAGAACATCCTTCCATTGGTGGTGGGTGTTCAAACTTGTACAACCACTATGGAATTCAATATGTCAGTTCCTCAGAAAATTGGAAATCAATCTACGTCAAGACCCATCTATACCATATACCCAAAAGACAATCCATCCTACCACAAGGACACTACCACTAGCAGCTTGGTTCATAATAGCTAGAAACTGGAAACAATCTAGATGTTCTTTAACCAAAGAATGGGTAAGGAAAATGTGGTACATATACACAATGAAGTATTATTACTCAGCTATTTAAAAAATTACATCATGAAATTTGCAAGCAAATGGATGGAACTAGAGAAATCATCCTGAGTGAGGGAACTCAAATACAGTATGTATTCACTTATAAGTGGATATGAGCCATTAAATAAATAACTAAGCTAGTTCTTACCCAGAAAGGTTAGGTAAAGACAAGAGGGTTGGGGGTGGGGCACATGGATCTCCCTGGGAAGGGGAAATAAAATAGATTTTATGGGTAGATTGGGGCAGGTGGGGCCAAGAATAGGAGGGTTCAAGTTGGAGGGGAGATAGGATGAAGGGAGTGTGGGGAGAGATGGTTGGAATTGGGGGAAATTTGGAGAATAGTGTGGAAATCTATTATAGTGGAAAGTTCCTATAATCTATGAAGGTGATCCTAGTGAGGATTCCTAGTAATAGGAAATACAGAGTCTCTACTGGCTACCTCTTGTAGCCCAGTCAAAGCTTCCAGTGGAAGAACTGGCTTGCATTCAATTGAGTTGTTGGCCAAGGAGGTCAAGACAAAGTGCTGCTCTATGCAAACTGATCGTGGGGCCCCAGTGCCTAGGACAACATCCCCATAATTCATTGAACATGGAGAAGTCAAGCTGGTTCCTACATGGAGCTTTCACCTCCCCCACCCCACCCCTTTGTAGTTTCTTTAGTTCAAGAAGTTACTCTGCAAGCTACTGAAAGAGAAATGAGGACATGAATCCAGCCACCAAACTCTTACCTACAAGGTTTGATCTGTCCAGATTGCAAAATATGCCAGGGCAATGGGGGCACAGAACTTGTGGGAGTACCTAACTGATGTCTGATCTAATTTAAGGCCCACTCCACGAGATGGAATCTGTACCTGACACTGCTGGGGTAACTAGGAACCAGAGACGAGATATCCTAGAGGCCTAGCATAAAATCAAACACAACTGGTCTAAAAAAAGTCAATAAAATGATTCCTTATCCAGCCGTCACTAGAGAAGCTTCCAGCAGCAGATGGAAACAGATGCAGAGACCCACAGCCAGACATTTTGCAGAGAGAGAGTCTAAATTGGAGGTCTCCATCAAATCCCTACCCTCAGAGCTCAGTGAAACCCGTGGGAGAGGAGGCAGTAAGATTGTAAGAGCCAAAGGGGATGGAAGACGCCAGGATGACACAGCCCTCCGAATCAACTAAGCAAGATGCATTTGAGTTCACAGTGACTGAAGCAGTAAGTACAGAGCCTACATGGGTCTCTACCAGGGCCTTATATCTACTAGCTTAGTTAGTGTTTTTATGGGACTCATGACTATGAGAACATGTAGATCTTTGATTCTTTTGCATGCTTTGGGGACTCTTTTTCTCCTGTTGGGTTGCCATGTCCAACTTCAATATGAAAGTTTTTGCTTCATCTTGTTATATTTTATTTTGTCATGTTTTGTTGTTATCTCTTAGAGGCCTGCTCTTTTCCAATGAGAGACAGAAAGGGAGTGGATCCAGAGAGGAGGGAAGGAACTAGGAATAGTAGAGGGAGGGGAAACTATAATCAGGATATATTTTCAGAGAAAACACTATTTTCAATAATAAATAAATAAAAAGAAAATGACAAAGATTATATAAACATAAAAAAGATGAAAAATATCACATACAGTCTTCAGAATAGCTGTAAAAAAATTGGAACTATTGTTTGTTCTACAGTCCTCTTAAAAGTATGTCTAGTCCCTATCTTATCCATTAAACAGTTTTTGGCCCTTTTGGTTAAAAAAAGGTTAAATTCCATAAAAGCTGAAATGCTACATAAAGGTGTACACGCAGATCAAGAATCAAGGTGGTATAGGCAGATTTCCAAGGAAAATCCCCTTGGGAATACATCTTCCCACCCTAGTTACCCTAATATTCAACTGAATACTTAGTGAATTCCTGATTATAAAATTTGAACAAACTAAAATGAGTCCATCTACTAAGTTTTGTGGGTGGTTTGTTATATATTAGTAGATAACTGAAGCATAGAGATTTGTAACTAACTTGATTAATCAAATATATTTAAATACCCTTCAAAGGCTAAAGTCTTAATTGCCAATCTATGGTACTATTGGGAGATTGTGGGACCACTGGAAGGTGTGTTCTGGATTGGGGTTTCTGTTTGCCAACTCCCTCCACCCCGTCACTCTTCCCTTTTTGGCGGCAGTGAATTCATTAGCATCCTCCACCAGAACCTCCCATTGTCATGATGTACTATACTACCAAAGGTCCAAAGCAATAAACAGTGAGTATAAACAGACAATTCCCCTTTCAAAGTTGTTTATCTCACATTATTTGTTGCAGTGATAGAAAGCTGACTAATGTAATTGGTAAATATAGGTTAGGAATAATTACTGAAACTTGATTCATACTACCTGCCTTCAGCACTGATATTATCATACAAAACTACTGTAATAATGAGAATCCCATGTGTCAGTTTCTCTGTACATAAAATAGAAATAATAATAAAATAAAATAATAACAATAATAATAAACACTAAAATACCTCACAAGGTTGTTATAATGATTTATGTAATTAAAACCTAAGGACCAAAATATTTTACTAACTTAGTATGTCTTGTAGCTGGTCACCAGTACAGTGCTCTTGAGATCAACATAATTGGAGTAAAGTTTTAGATTCACACATATATGAGAATAAATCCTCTATCAACCATGTATGTAGAATTTTTTAGCCTTTCTGGACTTCACTGTTCTCATCTAAAGTATGGGATAGTAACACATAATTCACAAAATTCTTTTAGGCACTACATGAACTAACCAGGTAAACTATTGGATTCAGCTCGGCAAGTGGTAGGCATTCAATAATTTGTTGAGTCCTTTGGCATTCAGCCTCTTGATTTGTTTCTACACAAGGTGCACCTCTTTCAGAATAAAGAAGAGGCTGAATTTAATCTTCTCAGAAATTCTCAATACTAAGTGTTCTAAAGTGTCTGGGTGAAAGCCTAGTTCAGTTGACCTGGAAAAATATTGTCTTAATCTGTTCTATGTTGGTTTAACAACATTGCCATATGAGTAATTTATAAAGAATAAAGGTCTATTCAGCCCATGTTTCTGAAGCCTGAGAAGTTCAAAGTTGTATGGCACATCTGATCAAGTCCTTCTTGCTGATGGGAAATTTCCAGAGTCTCAGAATGATGCAGAAGGTCATATATCAAGGCTGGCAGGACATCTTAGTACTGTTCTAGCTCTTCTGATGAAGTCACAGTAGAATAAGCCTCCACCCCTATGGTCCCATTCAACTGTAATTACCACGAGCTATGCTTTGAACCTGAACTATCCACCAGTTCCATTATTTAAATGCCTTGTAGTACTATTTAAGGCTATGTAAGCTGAAGGTCTTTGTGGTTATACTTACCTCTATTCTAACCTGTTCACTCTGCTTCCTCATCCATCATGAAGTGAGACGTCTCCACTATAAAGGCCCACGATCATGATACCTTCCTTACCATGATGGGCTGAAGTTCCTCTAAAACGGTGAGCCTAAAGGACCTTTCTCCCTTATGTTGTTCCTATCAGATAATTTGATCACACCAGCATGAAAGAAACCATTATACCTCTCAAAAATCTACTTTTCAGGCACCTTACTTTGTTAATTTACATCCTCTCAATATCTCAGAATTGAGATTAAAATTCACCCTGAGTCATGGTGAAGACATTAAAAACCACAGCAAGTATTTGTCTACAACAGTAGCCAGCTGATGCCTAGTTAGTTTCCTTTTAACCAGGTCTTGTCATACACAGCTATGTTATTTAGGTACTGGTAACTAGCAGAAGCTGAGAAACATCTATTATCTCTTAAGCCCTCAAGCTATCAACTAAAACACATGTTTTTTCATGTGTCCTAGGTAACTAAAGGTATCAAGCTAACCAGAGCCCCAAAGAACTTCTACACTTGACTGCTAAGCTACATGAAGGCGCATCACAATAGGGGCCCTTTATTCTGTCCTGCCCACTCTAGATGACCTAAGATGTAGGTCAAAGGATGAGGGTAGTGTAGGAAGCACAGTGAAAAATCCCAAGACTGAAACAGAGATAAACTCAATAGAGATTGTAGGTATTAACTCTGCTATAGAGAATAATGAAAACCTCATTAAAATACACTAAAAAAGCATTTGCCAGTGACTCCTAGAGACTTGACCCTGGACAATTGGCTTAAGAAAAATGGAGTGATGTCTGCTCATGAGAAAATAATGGGAAAGTCAGAATATATAGAGAAGTGAATCAGAACAAATCACTTTTTAAGTGAGCAGAGTCAGGTACAAGGATGGTCAAAATTCCCAATACTTGTTTTATATCAGCAAGGGAAACTAGCTCATTTTAGCCTGTCATTGGACATAAATCACTCCCAAGTTTTGTGGAGTCAGAAATTCCTTGTCTAATACATCATATTTACCTGAAAAAGGGTCACCATAAAATGATAATGGTAGGTTTTGCAAAGGAATGTGTCAAAATGTAAGTGTTGGCTCCCAAGAGGTATCATGTGTGATGGTAAAGAGTGAAATACATTCTTAGAAAACCTTAAAGCATAAGTAAATTCTTGCTATAATGAGGAAATAAAGTAGGTATAGTATCATAGTATAGGGAATTCAAACTCACGACAAAAGAAGCCCAATGTTCAGGTTCCTAAAGTATTGACCTCCTTCTTACTTGGTGATCTCAGTAAATTCAAAGCAATGAAACTAGGCTTGTAATCCCAGCACTTGAGGCAGGAGGATGTCCATAAACTCAAGGTTAGCTTGAGCTAATAGAGTGAATTCAAGGCAAGCCTGTAACACCTTGTCTCAAAAAAGCAAGCAACCCAATCTCAATGAATTGTATTATAACATGGAATGTACTGAATAATTGCTGTGTGACTGGCTTACAGCTTCTCCTTCCCAATATGTACTGTCCTCTCACCTCTATAGTAACCCTATGAAATTCTGAGTATTTAGATACATTGATTGAGAAAGAAAAATGAACTTATTCTCAAAGCTACTAGCAATTGAATCAGGAAACTCCTTGACTCCTCAGTAATCACTGTCAGGCTCTAAGTTGCTGCCTCTTTACATTCTACATAGTACCTATGTTCCCAATATAATTACATAGACTAAGGCATTTGATATATTCAGGTAACTTTTACATTCCTCATAAAATAACTGTTGCAGTAAAGAATTTAATAAATATAGATCTCCTGTAAAAAAGAGTATGAGATAGAACCTTGGACCTTGAGAACATTCTGTACTGTTTGAACACTTGACTGTCTTCTATACAGAGAAGATATGCAACAAATATTGTTCATTAATTGGCAAACTCCTAACTGACCTCAGAAGAAATGTTCTCATTAGAAGGCCCTCAATGGTTCCTGCCTCCTAATATTCATTTACCTTATATAATCTTCTCCCCATGAGTATGGGCTAGACATGGTGGTTTGTTTTTCATTACAGGTGCTTCCCCACTTATGATGAATTTCCATGCTGATAAGTCAAGCCACTGTGAGTTAAAAATATTGTATATGGAAATACCTCAAATACATGTAGCCTATAATCCTTCTCATCCTAGCAATGGTACCCTGTAAATTCTAGTGTGGAGTGTGAGCTGTTTTCCCTCGTGATCTCAGGCCAACAGGGAGCTGCAGCTACTCCTGAGACCCAGCATCACTAGGGAGGCTTGGATCCTATCACCAGGTCACGGAGAAAGAAGATTCAAATTCAAAACAAGTTTCTTATTAGTTGCAGCTGTATCATTTTGATGCGACTACAGTCCCCATCCCCTAGTTAATTTGAGCCACTGTGTGTCAGGAAACATTTAGTTTGATATGTAAAATCATGGGGGATTCCTTTAGAGATTAGGTACAAATTGTCCTCTCTGTCTCTCTCCTTCTCTCCCTTCCTCCTGATTCCAAGAGAAGTAAACTGACAAACCATAAAGTTCTCTGTGGATGTGTCATGTGTTGAGGAGATAAGAACCATCTTGAAACATTCTCAGTCCAGTAGTCCCCCACAACCAAACTTGAATACAGGCAACTGTGGGCCAAGTGGGCTTGGAAGCTGATTCTTCCCCAGATGACTCTGTGGGCCATCTGATGGATAACACAGTGTCTTGATTGCAGCCTTTTGAGAAACTTAACTCAGAATCCAGTCCAGTAGGCCCTAGATTGTCAAACCACACAAGCAGCTGGGAGATGATAAATATTTGTTATTTGTAACTATTACAATTTGGAGTAATTTATTATGTGGCCATAGATAACAAATGCAGTATTCTTTTGTCCTTGTGACAACAAAGGGTGGCAGAGCTGGGGAAAAAAAAAACACTCAAAAGAAACCTTGTTTCTATGGCAACAAGTCACTGTTTCCTAATGCCCAGTATAAACACTGGATAATAATTCCAATGGTTTGAACACACAGATTTCCTCAATTTAAAGAGGAATTAAATGTCAAAGGAGGCAGAGACAGTAGGCCTCTCAATATGGCCCTTGCTCCAGGAATCACACCATTGTGGCTCCCATGCATTCCAGAGGTTGCTTGAGGAAGGAGAATGCACAGTGGGGGAATTACAGTAAGAGAAAGCCAGCTAAGTCCTCCTCCTCCTAGCCAAATAGGTAGGCCATTACTTGCTTTCAGATACTCTGTGAAGAAGAAATGGTAATGGAGGAATAAGACGACCTTGACCTTGAAAAGCACCTCTGTTCTTTTCAAGCCACTGCCATCACTACTTCACTGGCACCTCATAATGACCTAATCAGACAGGCAGGAAAAGGCATAGCTTTACATTGGAGATAAGAAAAGTCTACTTATGTGATTTCTGCCTTGCATTAGGGAAAGAACAGCAATCAGAGAAGTGACCCTTTTGATAGTGCAAAACCAGTGCACAGGAGAAGCAGAGGGAGATGCAAGTGATAATTTCCCAAATTCTAGACCTCTTTCCCCACTGCCCCTTTCTGTTGACCAGACTGGCCCCTCCCTAGTCTGGATACAGCACTAATGAAGCTTTTGCAGTTAGCCGTCCATAACTTATGGGGTACACATCCATGGGTTCAACCAATTGTGGATTGAAATTACTTGTGGAAAAAATATATAGAATCCTTTTTTAAAAATTTCAGTATCCCTTGAGCAATTAAGAATAACAACTATTTATAAAACACTTACACTCTTGCTATTCAATATATAAATGCAGAGCAAGGATATATATGTGTGCTGCACAATTACTATGCCATTTTATTTTTATTTATTTATATTATATGTGTGTGTATGAGAGAAAGAGAGACAGAGACACCATGGGCACAAATGTGTGTAAGTGTGGAGATCAGAAGACAAATTTCAAGGATTTCAGAAACCAGTAGAAATCTCTTTCTACCATGTGGAGTTCAGGGATCAAACTCATGTCTTCCATCTTGGTGGAAAGAACCTTTACCTGTTGAGCCATCTTGCCAGCCTGGCTATGCCATTTTATATAAGGGACATTAGCACCCTCAGGTTTGGGCATCCATGGAAGCTCTGTAACCAACACTAGTGGATACCAATGTATTAGCATATGTCTTTTGGGAGTGTGGGGAAGCCATCTATCTGTACTGCTGTGGAATCTGAGAGGTCACCTTCACGTTATAAACACTGAAGTCATTCTCCTTACCTGCCTATACAGCAGCACATTTTCACACTTAATGTGTGAGGAGTTATCCAGGAACTGAGTTGCTGTGCAGATTCCTATGCCCCATCTCTCAGAGATTGTCATTTATTTACCAGTATGGGTCCCATGACTCCTTTTTATTTACCCAAGCAATTTCCTGTTATTCTGATGGAGGTGCTACATGACCAACTTTGATGCATGCTGCCCAACTTACCAATACTGTGGTCTAACAAAGAACTCCTAAAAGACATGCATGAGACATACATTTGCACATATACACAGTGCTTTACACAGTAGAGTAATTTCTAAAGTGGTTGTATGCAAATCATATTTTACCCATCGGTTCACACATGAAATACGCTATGCTTACACATTCTTTCTCTTCAGGTGAAGGACTTCACCTTCAAGGTTGGATGACCCTTTGCACAATGCCCGATGCCTAACACTGATTGTGTCAATGTTGATTTAATGAGCGACTACTGAGTGGCTTTGCTCAAAGTAGGTCTCAGTATAGCATGACAACCAAAGATCTCTTCATCTTAGTAACATTCCCTTCTCTCTCCACTTAATAACTGTAATTGCTCTTCTTACTGTAGGATTCAGAAAAGCAAACCCCAGATAATACAGATACAAGCACCTCCCTGAGAATGCTAAGCCCTTAGGCAAGTAGCTATTCTAGTATCAGGGTCCTTGTTTCCACTCTAACCTCAAAAGTTATGGGCTCTGTCTTTCCAGGAGAGTTTGTTTTATCACATTTGGAGCCTCAGGATGAGGAGTAGGGATATGATAAATTGAACAACGCAAGATGTCCAACTCCCCTACACAGGTGTAGACCAAGGATCCATGTGCTCACCAGAACAAATGTAGTTAAGAGTCTTGCTAATCCAGATTAGGAGACCAAAATGCAGCAAAGGGAGAGTTGGTTTGGGTATGCCTTTGGAGAAGGCTTTTTCCTTGAGCTGTTAAATAGGAGTTTTCAGATTTGTTGATGTGACAGCTTGCCTGTTAATAGCAAAATATTGATTCCTATGACTCAACAATATGGGACATAAACCATTTCATCCCTAAATTCATAAATTGGTACTCAAATAATTAAGCTTTCACAAGGTGTCTTACAAAACTGCTTGATCTCAAACATTTGATTGCACAAGGTAATGATATTTTTCTAGATTCTGAGGCTGAAAGCCAAACTTTCCCTTCTTTTCTGGTTTGACTTATTATATAAACCTTTTAAAAATGGAACTTCGACTTAATGTGTTT